ACTCAGTGAAGATGGTGTTGATTCACCGGCAGGTCCAGTATTCGACGATGACTGTTAAAGCGAAATGCAAATAGAGAGATTAACAAGTCAAAACTTAACGAGAATTATTTATTTCTTACCCTTACAATTAGAGTTCAATTCTGAACGTAATAAATCGGCACAATAAACATATCAACAAAGTTAGCAAGCATGTTGCTTTTTTAGGAAATAGATAAAGTCGTTTACACCCCGGTAGAATAGTATTTGTCAGCATACAGTCCGACAAGGGCCTAAAGCCAGACTTCGAGATGATGTACACAGCAGAGGTGCGATACTGCTTATGAAAAAGTTTCCACTATTGCAAAGTGAGTGCCTTCTTCTACTGCCTTGTAGCCACTTCTACTTCTTCCACTTCCATCTTTCTGTCCTTCTAACGCATATAAGTCATTTCTTAATTATTTTATATTTATTTATTTTAAGAAAAAAGAGGGGTGTGCGATAGACTTAAATCCACGTGGTGCACCCTGGGCAACGTATATACTCATACACCAAAAAGGTCTATTAACCGGCAGTTGACTTCTCACTTCAAACTACCATCACCTCACTCTATGCCATATTCGACTATTTTCACAGTACTCACCACACCTTTTCTCTGCCTGTCTCATTTACATCTGTGAATCATTATTCTGTCCCCCCTCTCGACCTTCTGTCACTTTGATGTTCCTCTTCCTCTCTGTAAAGCCTGAAGTCAGCAAATGGGCTAATGATAACTATCAAAACGCCTGCCATTTAAAATAAATCAATAAATATTTATCTCCCCTATGGCATGACCATTAATATTTACGTAACAGCTTAAATAAGCAGGAATTTAAACTCTAAACTTCTTATACAAGATTGCCTAGATATGACATCATTAATTAAAACTGAGTTCGTCACAAAAATGTGAAGTAGACGACTCCTCATTTTCAGTTAATTTCGACTTCAGACCTTTTCATTAAGAAACAAAGAGAAATGTCATTGAAAATCAAATATGTAGGATAATAGAGAGCAAGAGAACAGTTGAACTGAAAAGGTACGAGCAAAGGAATTATGGTAAAAAACAATCGACTCCATGGAACGAATGACAGTGAGGGAAGGAATAGTAAGCCTGCAAATCTGCATTAAAAAGGCTCAATTCAGCTTCCCGATAATTCTACAAGTGTACATTTTGATCAACATTTCATTTACCACAAGGCACTTAAATCTTTTTTTCCTGTAGAATTATTAAAAATAAACAAGAAAAATGATAGCTTATCGTATATACTAAATCAGGAAAGTATGCATTTCTTAACTGCAATTGAACACTTGGTGAGGTATGCATCAACGAATAAGCCCCAACTGCAAGGGCAACCTAATACCTATTTAGTACCAGAGTAGAGCCAATTGAGCTTTGACCAGTCAGAATATTTGCGTTCCACTTATACAAGACTCACCGATACGCAATCCGACAAGTAGGACGGTTGTCGAGAGATCCACCCACCTCGTGAATTCAGTGTTTCGACAGGGGTATTCGAAATCGAGCTCCCAATTGTCATTCTAGAGCCTAAGTTTTCAATTCCAGCAATCGAATGACGTTCCATCAACCCGGAAAGATTCTTCTTTCCCCGTCGAATACTCAGTGTTGCAGCTGAGTTCTTCTTTACAATCTTAACTGAATCATCTTTCTGTTTCTGGAAGCTCTTCATCATAGTTTCACCCATCTTAATTAGTCCAGAAGCTGCGTTAACCACAGCCGAACCGCCGGTGATCAGATTTTTTGAAGGATGTGGCAGGTGTGGAACTTTAAAGACAGATCCACGTTTCAAGGAGTGACTCTTCTTTTTAGTTTTTTCCTCTTCTGTCTCACTCACACCGTTGAGTTCTTCTAACAAAGCCTCGGGTGTAGTATAAGCGAAATCACGACGCTGAAGGCGCCTGAACATATTGGTGGCGTATTCACGATCACGGCCGAGAGTGGACAGGAGCAATTGAGTATACGCTTCGGATTCTGATGTCTTTGAATCGTCTGCACCTTGCGTTCTCTTGCCGTTGACCAGGGAAGTCTTTCGTGAATTCCACATCGTTTCAACTATAATGGAATAAAGAGGATGACAATCTCCAAGGGTATTTAGCCAGACAAAGAGGGGGAACAGAGCTCGATTTTAACATTGGCGCATTACGAGATCTTAGGCCAAGAATTGAGACACTTCTTGACATTTGTGGGGCTGAAATGTTGAAGAGCTCATGTGAAAAATTAACCAAGCAACCACGTTTAAAGCAAAAGATGATTTCGATAGTACCGGAGAAGGAAGGAAACCGATCAATGCTCGACATTTTAGAAGCTATAACAAATGAAAGCGATTTAAGAATAATAGTCAAGCGAAGTTGGAAATAAACATAGCAAATGACCATTACTTGTGAGCGTTGCAATATCGCCCTTTTGAGAATCAATTGGAGTTGAAACTAAAACGAATGCTTTCTCTTCTTAAAATCGATCACCAGTTCACATTTTTATAGCACCAATTAGAAAGAGCACATTATAAGATATCAATTCAAACTGAAACGAAATCGTATTCACCACAGCCCAAACTTCCATTAATGAGTCATAGAAATAGGAGAATTTTTGATATTAGAATATATCAAATGTAACTAAAAAGGAGTTAAATAGAACATCTTACGTGGTTGCAGTTTATATTATGGACAAGTTATAAGAATATTGTTCGTCGCAACGAACATGAGCAAAGCTTTCCAGGTTCATTTCGCAAGCACCGTATACATGTTTTCCATTTATCTGCTGACAACTAGGTACCCATGCCTTTTGCTAACCAGTCAGTTAATCATTCTGCAATTGTGCCCGATTTCGCACAATCAAAAGCCAAATGATATCGCGCTATGCCATTTCACCTATTGCTCTAATTCGTTTGGCAATTTAAAAAGTTAGAAAATATGAATTAACAAGTACTTTTTATGGATCATCATAGAAGATTATACAACTGCTTAAAAGTGAAATTCTAGCATAAACCTCAGTGAAGGTTATTGAACATAAAATGAAGGAAAATTCGTTGGAAACTAAAAATTGTTATTATATAGCGCCTGAAGGTTGGATAGCAACATGGAAATTACTTCCGGATTCCGAATTGGATTTATCAAGACTCAGATTTGCACTACCGATTTCTTTCTGAAGAGCTAGAAAAAAGGGATAGAAAACACGAATAAACACAATTGTTCCTAGTTCTTTATGCTATGTAATTTACAAGGGGAAGGCGATGAAGATGATTTTGATCCGCTATTTGAAATAGCAGTGGCTAAAGAAGAAGATAGAACTTAAATTTTCTGACAAAGTAAAAGTCAATTTTAAGAGCTCTGAGACTACAAGTTCCTTCACCAGTCATAAGCTCGAGTGTAGACGCCGTCCGAGGAACTAAAATGAGAAAAACTCAAGATTCCGAATTGACCCAAGTAATAGAACCGTGAGAAGGTAGAAAACCTTACGACAAACACATGGAGGAGGCACGAGTTTAGCCGACAACCTCCGTTTTGAAAAGCCTTGAAAAAGTTTAACTTTTCCAGTGGCTAAAAGCAAGGCAACTTAGAAAATTTTAAGTACACCAATTACGCATTAAGGGAGACTTCCTAGAATCACTGGGTGCTGTAGTTTCAGAACCTATGGAAAAAATCAGCCAAATACACTCGCTAAACAGAGACAGTTTCATAGAGCAGACGATTACTCGGAGATTTCGACAAACTACGAGAAAGTAGTGCTAAATAAAAGGAAAAAAATAAACAAAACATTTGCTGAGACAAGCCGAAAGGACAATAGATAATTACCAGATTTGCTCAAACTTTCAATCAAACCACGAGTCCCTGAAATAGTACATGAGTATCACTACAGCGGAGGGGATAGGGGGGATTGAAAAGAAGGAGAAAGTGTATTAAAATTACATTTTTTCAAGGACACGGGCGATTTACAAGCTGAAACGATAAACACGCTGACATTAATATTGAATAAAATCCTAGAGCCAGTATGAGCAAGGAATAAAATAGCAACTAGAATTCTGAGAAGCCTCAAGCAAACCACTGGACACTGAAATAATATCAATAGTTTGAGCATTGTCTTTCAATATCAAAAGAGGGCACGTGAATAATAATAGACATAATTACGATCCTCGGGTTCGACAGATGGTTGAGAAGCTACAAAAAAAGAGAAAACAACTGGGAAGGAGAAGTTGACTCAAAAAACTGAGAAGATATCAGTTTTTAAATCTGCCGACAATTTAAATAAAACTTCTGAGGGAGCCCACGAGACTAGCAAGACTACTGCTGGGAGGTATATCTCATTAATAAAGAGGGCCAACACTAAAGGCATAGCTAGTTTACATGTTTGCTGGAGAGAAGTCCGACTTTTTTGCTTAAATTCAGGTGGGCTATCAGCTAAAATGAAAAAAAACTAGAAACTGAATTCAAGAATAAAAGCAATTTGTCAAAGCAAAAAGCAAGACGATACAAGGAGGGTTGAGCATTGAAGAACAAGGATATGGAATTTGAAGCCTTTTAGTAGAAGATATTACTTCACTATCACCACTTGGTTGATGCATTATAGACCCTGAACAGAAAAGATATAATGTTTTGGAATTTCGAAAAAAAGAACACCAATCGTACCTTGAGATGCTAACGAGGAGAGCTCAGAGACTTGAGAGAAAGATGTTGACTAATTAATAGGAAGGATTAAAGTGGAGAGAATTTCGATGTCGCATCAGGCAAATTTACCCTCTACTAAAGCAGATAACTTTTCAGGACTTTTGTTCAGACTATTTGTGGGAGCTGCAGGCAAAATGACATAAAAATGAATTCAAATATTACTGGTATCAGATGCTGAAATGTCTTCCGAAATATTCACTAAAATACGAAAGACCAGGAAAAAAACAGAAACGTTGGCAGCAGAGGAAAATAGCATAGAAAAGCAACGAAGTACTTGAAAAGGACTTTGTCTGTTCAACATCCGAATGCATCTCATCAGAAGTTGAAATATCTTTAATACGTGTCGCAGATTCACAACGATGCAAATCAGTTATAGCTGAGCAGAAAAATTAATGAAAAAGGAGGTTCAATTGCGAATATACTTGAAATCATCTTCTCATATTGTCTCTTCCTTCGTATTGATTGCGTTAATATGGATCGTTCTAATGCTACAAAGGTATGAGTCAAGTAGTAAATAGGTTGAGTATGCACAAGTCGCTGATAGTTGGGGG